GGACGGCCGTCTCTAAATCCCTGGCTGATAATCTGTGCCACTTTTCAAATGGTTGCGTAGCGGCAGCTCTACCGTTACAGTTAGACGCTTTGTCGCTTGTTGATCTGATATTTCTCCTGTGACTTATTTTGTCTCAGCGCACACACGAGTCAGAAGTTTCAAACTGAGGAGGGCATTTCCATACGGCGGCTACCCGAAGCGAGGAAATATTTGACAAAGAAGAACATCCAACACAAGTTCAAAAATATTCTTGCAATCTCCTTGCCTTGTGTTTGCAGAGTCCGCAGTGAGAACCACGTATGCCGAACCGCGTTCATACCGGGCGTAAGGAAAAAGTACGACCGGATCAAATGGGGTCGTTTTTGAGTCAGTCCACTTCCCGCCATTCATTAGATGCTAGTCGAAAGATCCGGCATCTCCTCTATATGCACACGATATTTATGTAGGCCTTGTGACAGAATCCTGGATATTTTCGATCAACTGGCACATGCTGACTTTAATGGCGAAAGTACCTTACGTGAACTCATCACAGAAGAGACTCCCTTCACTATTTTGCCGTCAAGTGAACAAAAATGTGCTTTTCATCAACAGCGACTTTGCGACTTGCAACGCAGTCATTTGGAAAAAGTTGAGCATGATGAACGATATACTACATCCTCTGGCATGCCATCGTGGTGCATATACGTTGTAGTACCGCATATGCAGCGTAAGCCGGTAGTCACCACAAATTCTTGGAGTAACACCATCAGCCTTCAGTGGGGTAACTGTCAGAGTTGCCCAATTCGATGACTGGACAGGAGTCAGTATTCCTTTTCCACACATTAAGTGCAATGCTGGGCAACCAGGCTCGCGTGGTACCTGTAGCCTTAGAACTTTTAGGAAACAGTTGTTTGAGTTCATTCTCATTCGAAGGAATCAGTAAGGTGATACTAGTTCGCAGTGACCGCAGAACTTCGAGTCCGATAATCGATGGTCCCGACGTTGAAACCAAAAAATTACAATCGATATAGGTTCCTTGGGGTAACCTCACAGGAATCGTGCAACTACCAACTAGAGGTACAGAATGTAGAGTATTACCGCGGATATTAAAATCCGTAGGCACTATCACGGCTTTGGGGTAGAATGCAGTTATATCTGATTGTGGAATGATGGACTCAACACTACCATTATCAGCGGTGTAGTCACGCTTTCGACCAGAAGCGGATACCAAAGTTTTAAATACATGTGACGAATTTTGAGACACTAGAGAGAGAGAAAGTTTAGAAATGTCTTCCGATAATACTTTCACGTCAGTATTTGGTCAAAAGTTAAGTGACACATCTTTTGGACTTACAGACAAGTTGAATGTGTCCTGTTTCACCGCAGATAAAATACTTCGTTCGTTCGTGAAGGCATGAGTATCTGGAATGGCTATCTGGAATGGTTTTGTCCACAAGATTCACATTTTCCAAATTTTTGAACCATCGAATTAGAGTTACAATCTGTGAAGTGACGTGTTATTGGATTTGGGTCATGAATATTTGTTCGAGGTTTGAACTGGTTGTTCGTTCGCATCCTAGAATAATTTAACAAGACTGCTTCATCTGTCTTCGTTACATGCCTCATATCTTCGTACTGCTCACATATTCTCCGAATAGTTTGAAATTTCTGATCCGTCAGTACAGCAACTTCTGTAGTAATTCGGGCAGTTGAATGTCAGCAATGTGCCTATCAAGCAGCTGAAAACAATGTAAACGGTCGAATTATGCTGTGGGTGATATTTTTTTATTATCCCGTAAATGACTGTTTTGGCAATGCTCACACGGCCCACTTGTCTAACTGTACGTAAGCTGACGAAATTCAAAACCATGGGAATATTCGTGAAAGCAGTTTTGTGGCACTTCTACTGATATGCGTAAACCCAAATATGAACGGATCCAATATCCCTGTTCTCTGCCTCTGAAGACTGTTCTGGCGCGGCTTTGCGGCTACTTTGGTTACCAGGTTGGGGACTGATGCGTTTTATACTACGTTCGCAACCCGGTCGAAAACCGCTCTAGTGGAATCGATGCTGGAGACACCAAGGCCGAAAAGCCCCAGGATTTCCCACGCGGTTGGCTGATTATTCACAAAACTATCTCAGATATTATTCTTTCGTGGATAGCAAACTGCCCCGGATCACGAATGCTTAGGCTAAATTGCCATATCGGGACTTACATGGTGTTATCCAAATGCGTAAACCAATAAAGTGAGGACGCTTGTTATACAGGTGCCCACAATACCGGTCTTCAACAAAACCGAACGAGTTGACAAATAATAGAACCTTGGAAAATTTCTTGAATGAGGACTAACCGCTTAAATATGTGTTCAGGCCTGCGGGCCTCTAGCGAGATTTGCTTTTGTTCTCTAGAATGACTGTTGTTAATTCTACAGATGCCGGTGCTTCGGGATTCATATAAGTAAAATCGCCGTATAATCGTCGAATGGTGCTCGCTTGAACAAACAAATATCAGTGTTTTTGTTAGTGAAATAGTGCGAGACACAAGTCTATCATATAGCAAGGCGCAAGCAAGACGCATCAGATGTTTGCTGCTAACCCATATTTTTCCGTATAAATTGGTCGTGATTAAAAAATCACGTACTTTTACTTGAATACAGGTGCAGTTCATACGGGCTGATAGAGCGAGAACACTGTAGAAGACTGTGGTTTGTGGTCTGCATAGATTTTTTCTATCCGTGCGCGAATGCTGACACGAAACAATGCCGCCCAGACAAGGTTAATTAGAGTCATGTGCATCACATTTAATAATCTGTTCGTTTGTGTGTGCAGCCCAACCGAATTAGACAGTACACAAATAAAATCTGGTTGCGCTCGCAAATTTGTACAAAACAAAATCGATTTTAATTACGACCGCCGGTGAACGACGAACGGGGTCCAGTGTATTTGTGAATACTTGGAATGAACAAGATTTGTTGCAAAAGACTCATCCAAATACGACGGACCGTATCCTGATGGACTGAAGGTCGCGGTAGACACTAGTAGTTATTGAAACACGGCGGGTTAACCCAGCGACTAATCTGGACACTCGTGTAAAAATAACATCAATTTGGTGATCGACAGATCAAGCCAAGATCCAGAGGTC